CGGGCGAGCGGGCGCCGCGGGCGGCGGCGCGGCGGCGGCGGCTCGCGAGGCAGCTACGCCTCGCGGGGGGGGGCCCAACACGAGAGGGCGAGAGGCACCCGGCCCTGCAGGCGGAGGAGGTGGTGCCGAGGACAGGGGGGGGGGGGGGAAGCGGGAGGAGAGGGAGGGAGGGGAGGGCGAGGTGGAGGGGCAGCACACAGGGCACGGGGAGGGAGGGTGCTGAGGCCTCCGGGCCTCCATCTGCAGTCTCTGGTCAGGTCCCCTGACTCCGTGCATCGCTCCCCGCGATGCGCCGCACGCGACCGCCGTCGCGCAATCGCGCCCACGCGCCGCCCCCTATTGTTCTCGTGACCCAAAAGGTCCAGCTGCAAGGAGGTGGTGCAACAGATTTGGGGCACCTGTATTGCAAGTATACTGCGCCAGAAACATGTATTGCACTGCATTGCGGCTAATGCATTGCACGCGAAAATCCAGCAATACGCTTGCGCACCGGAATCTAGGGCACAACCCAAACGTCTTGCAACCCCCCACACGAATCTATTGCACCACCCCTTTTTCGCTGGACCCCCGTTGGGGTCAACCAGATTGGTAGAAGGGCAATCGATCAGGTCCATACCGCAACGCGCGAAGCGCAATTATCTTCGAGCCCCCACAGATCACCTGGCAGATCGGCACTCCGTGAACTCCTCGCGCCGTGGGGAGAACCCCCTCGGGAGGCTCTTGACACTCTGCCGACCTGTGGGGGAGCTTACTCCGGATTCCATAACAAAGTGGGGGGGGGTCACATTCGGGGGGGGGTCTAATTTGAGCTGTCTTGGAGGGTTCGGGGGGGTCTGGGCAAAGGGCCGCCCATTCATGGATAGTCTGGGGGGTCTAAAACTTCTTGTCTGGGAGGGTTGTGACCCCCTCCCTTTTATTACGAAATCTGGAGTACCAGGCCCCACGGCCGTCAAAACGGCTCGGGAAAGAGTTCGGAAAGGGATCCAGACCTCTGGAGGGCCCAAGCTGTCCAACAACACGGCGTCGACCGGGCTCACGCACCGCACCATGGCTGGACTCGCTTCGGCCCAACTCCAACGCGGCATAATGAGAGTATGACTGCTTCGGCCCTCGGAGCCAGAACAGCTTTCACTGTACCAGGATGGGATCGGGACTGTACGACGCCTCGGAAGACACCAGTGCGCCACGGTGCCAACAAGACACCCGTCGGCGTGTGGAAGACGCTCTTGGTTTCGTCGTCGTCGTCGGCGCCGTCGTCGTCGTCGCCGTCGCCGTCGCCGTCGCCGTCGCCGTCGACGTCGTGGTCGTCGTCGTCGTCGTTATCGTGGTCGTGAGTCGTCGTCATCGTCGTCGTCGCAATCGTGGTCGTGAGTCGTCGCCGTCGTCGTCGTCGTCGCAATCGTGGTCGTGAGTCGTCGTCGTCGTCGTCGTCGTCGTCGTGGTTGTTGTCATCGTCGTCGTCGTTGCCGTCACCGTCACCGCTCCTCCCCACTCCCTTGGCCATCACTCATCAAGCGTGCCAGCCACAGCGAAATTGAGCAAAGTCGTAGTTGAGTCGAAGGGAAGCCCCTTCATTTTGATACCTTCCCCGCCGGGGCGGGGGGGTCCCGGGGGGGTCAAGGGAGGGGTGTCGGGGGGTCCCGGATCAGAATACCATTCCCCTCGGTGGCCCTGGGGCCCCAAAAAACCCAAGACGGGCAAAGAGTGACCCTAGAGGCCTCCAAGAAGGTCCAAGAGGACCGAGAATCGCCGAATTATCGTCCCATACGCCACAGATGACCTGCAGACGGTCTAATACACCTCCCAGACGCTTCACGAGGCCTCCAAGAGCACTCCGAAAAGGGCCCAAAGAAGTAGTCGTCATAGATTCTCCATTGCTTCTGAAAGATCCTGGTGCTCTCTTAAGCGGCAATGGTTTCCCCCTCGGCAAGGGTGACCCCGTGGGGGCGCGAGGCCTGGCGAGGTCTGGGCAGAGACGAGGGAGGCGGCCGACGCCGACGGCCGCGGAAACGGACGACGATGGCGAGGACGAGGACGGCGGACAGGCGAGCGCAGAAACGCGACTGGCGACGACGGCAGCGGTGGCAAGTGCTGCAGGGGGGGGCGGTGGAGGAGGACCAATGCCTTTGCCAGTGTCCCTGTGCTTTCTGTGGCCGCGAGAGGCGACAGAGAGAGAGAGAGACAGAGAGAGGGGTCTCCCCCCATCACATTCCTCGAACTCCTCGAATTCCACGTCTTTCTCATCCTCTTCCTCCTCCTCCTCCTCCTCCTCCTCCTCCTCGTCCTCGTCCTCGTCCTGCCCTTCCTTTGCCTTCCTCCTCCTCATCCTCTTCCTCCTCCTCCTCCTCCTCCTCCTCCTCCTCCTCCTCCTCCTCCTCCTCCTCTCCCTCCTCCGCCTCCTCTCATCCTCCTCATCCTCCTCCTCCTCCTCCTCCTCCTCCTCCTCCTCCTCCTCTTTCTCTTCCTCCCCCTCCTCCGAGTTTTACTCCTCCTCCCCTCCTCCTCCCTCCTCCTCCTCCTCCTCCTTCTCCTCATCGTCCTTCTTGTACTCGTCCTCGTCCTCGTCCTCGTCCTCGTCCTTCTCTTCCTCCTCCTCCTCCTCCTCATCATCACCATCACCATCGCCAGCACCATCGCCATCACCATCACCATCAACATAAGCATCACCATCACCATAACCATCACCATAACCATCAGCATTACCAGCACCAGAATCACCATCATCACCATCACCACCACCATCGTCATCAGCATCATCAGCAGCAGAAGCATCAGCATCCGCATCATCATCAGCATCAGCAGCAGTATCATCATCAGCATCATTATCATCATCATCATCATCATCATCATCAGCAGCAGCAGCAGAATCAGCAGCATCATCATCATCATCATCATCATCATCATCATCATCGTCATCATCATCATCATCATCATCATCATCAGAAGTAGCATCATCAGCATCAGCATCATCATCAGCAGATTCATCATCCGCATCATCATCATCATCATCATCATCAGCATCATCATCATCATCATCATCATCATCATCATCGTCATCATCATCATCATCATCATCATCATCATCATCATCATCATCATCATCATCATCATCATCATCATCATCATCATCATCATCATCATCATCATCATCATCATCATCATCATCATCATCATCATCATCATCATCATCATTATCAGCATAATCATCATCAGCAGCATCATCATCAACCACAACATCAACAACGTAATCATCATCCTCATCTGCAGCAGCAACATCATCATCATCATCATCATCATCATCATCATCATTATCAGCATAATCATCATCAGCAGCATCATCATCAACCACAACATCAACAACGTAATCATCATCCTCATCTGCAGCAGCAACATCATCATCATCATCATCATCATCAGCATCATCATCATCATCATCATCATCATCATCATCATCATCATCATCATCATCATCATCATCATCATCATCATCATCATCATCATCATCTTCCACCACGTCTCGTGACCAGTCATTCGGCCCTGTCACACCCCCAGACGTCTCGGAAGGGCGGGCTGGGCGTTACGCCTGAGACTTCCTCACCATCTAAGATGCTGAAGATTCAATTCTGCAATACATTCACGAATGCAAGGCGGGCCGGTTTCAATATGTCGCTCTCGCCATAGCGCCGCGCACAGCCGCTTTAACTTCCCAATATTGTCAAGGTTTGAAGGCGGGTCGTTTTCAAAATGCTGCTCTCGCTTTGAACCCACGCACATTCGTCGTCAACATGTGCAACAGCTTCACGGATGGAGGGTGGGCCGTTTTAACAATATGGTTCTCTCTTTAGCGACGCGCGCATTCGTCCTAAAATTCCGCAACCGCATTAAGGATGGAGGGCGTTTCATGTTCAAAATGTTGCTCTCGCGTTAGCGCCACGCACAAAGTTGTAAGCAGGTTAAACGATTCGTATGGGTGATATTCAAGACACCGTGCTCTGGAGCGAGTTAGGACTGTCAGGGCGCAACACTCACGTTGATTCGTGGTATTGAAATCCAGGTGAAATCCCAGGAGTGGTGTTCTGGCACGGCTGAAGATTGTCAGGGCGCAACAGTCACGTGAATTCGCGGCGCTACAGTCCCAGGAATGGTGTTTTGTGTTTTGGCACGGCTGGGGATTATCACTCGTTCGTCTTCCAATCGAACCCTTCTCGCAACTAAAGTGAATTCTCGCGGAGGCATGCGACGAGGGAGCCTCGGAGGGTATGTTGCAGTGCTGTTGATGCGTTTTGGGTTTACACTCAAGCTCCTCTTTCTCCTCTTCTTCCCCACAACAACGCAGGGCCCTTTTTAAATGCGACCCAAAGGCGTAATGCTCTCCATCCCCTCGGCGATGGCCGAAGGCATAACGCACTCGAAGGTACCGGTCGAACAGCTTGCCAAGGACACCGAAGCTTGTCTGCCAGGCCTCGGCACGGCAAAACCGATGCAATACCCGACGAAGGCAGGCACCAACAGAGAAGCCATTCTGGACGAACGTCCAGGCGATGGCGGGTGCGAGCAGTACCGAGTTCCCAAGTTCCAGGCCTCGCCAAGCACTGTGCGCTGGAGACTGAGCCCTCCAAGGAGGCACGGGCTGAGGAGGATCCCGCGCGACGAGAATCGGCTACACGCAAGAGTGACCCTGGGTAAGAGTGACCTTTGGTGCGCGGCCTTTTGGGGGCCGCGTAGGGACCAAACCTGGGCGCGCAAGCCGTTACTCCTGCTTCGTTTTCAGCCATCTGGGGACCCATCCGTGCCCGCACCAAAGGTCACTCCGGCGAAAGGTCACTCTTACGTCTGGTCGAGAGGAAACCCCGCTGGCCCCGAAGCCCAGGCCTGCGGCGCCCGAGCCCAGCTGCCCCGGGAACTCCAAGCCACGAACTGCCACACACGACCGTAAAACGGAGCTGGGATCGGGATCAATCGCTCCAGAGCGTTCCGGAGCGCTCTCGGAGCGTTCCGGAACGCTCTGGAGCGGCCGCGGCGCCCAAGACATCCTCCAAACCCGCCGATCCTCAGAGAT